TTTTTATCTTATAGATATTTGTACAATAAAATTATTAAATGTCAAAGAAATGTAATTTTTGACAGCTTGCGTTTTGTGTATCATAATATTTTTTTCTTTATAATATTTTCAACAAAATCTTAATTGCGTAAATAATATTTATGTTAATATGTATTAGCAAATTTATTTTCCAAATATTAATACTGACAACAGGGGAGCGATAGTCAATTTCGCTTTTATCACTGTACGTTGTACACACCTGAGCGCGCGAATTTCAGGCTATCTTATTCGTTAACTTTAAATGCTTCTAATTCAAAAACCATTACACCCTGAGTATTTTGGTATTAAGATTTTTTGCTCAGAATTATCTCAGAAATATACCCCTAAGCGTTGTTACGGTCTTTACGGGACACCCTGTATATCAAGAATATATTTTAATTTATCTTGTACTTGTAGTAAAAAGACAATTTATCTATTTGCCTGAGATTTGGGCCGTCAAGAGCGTCAACAAACTCAGAGTGTAGATTAAATGATACAATCAAGATAAACAGAAATCTCGACTACACAAAAGTCGTCAACAATTACAGCTATTGAAAGATATGACATTTGTATTTAATCGTGCTTTAGCTTATCTGAGTCAAGTGCGCCTTTTATCAGATTTACGATAAGCAAACAAGAAGATACCGGATTGACTGATATTCTGTAGTCAATATTTTGCTTCAAGTAGCTGGCAAATCAATAAAACAAGAAAACAGAGATCATTTCAGTTTGACAAGTTTTGGATTTTTGCGATTAATGTTACAGCAATAATGCTCTGTCTAGATCGGAGGATAATTCTACTTGTGACTCATCCGAGATAGTTTGACATTAAAATTATATTGAAGTTGGCTTTTAATCGTATCAACTGTATCAAATAATTTTTTTATTTAATTTTAAAAAATTATTTCGGTTGAAACGAAAGCCAACTTTAGCATAATTTTTACCCGTTATTTTATTGGAACGCTGTATGTTTTTGAAACATATATTTTTATTGTTCTAAATTAGCATACAATCCAATTTTTAAAATTATATGAAGCAATGTTTAAATATCAATCGAATTTATTGCAATAACTACTTCAATTTTTTAAGATTGATGTAAAACATACCTTTCTTGCTATTCAATTTATGTATTAATAGTGTGTGTGAAGCTGGCGTATCATTTCGCGGAAACTCACAAGTAATTAAGAGTTCTGGCTTTATTTTCAATAGTTTTAGTTTTTGATAGTTTAAACAAATAGTTCTGGCCATCAAATCAACAAAAATGCCTTAGGACAAACTGAGACGCCAACTTCACGCAGCGTCTCACTTTGTCCTACGACATTTCCTTTATCAATAATTATTAGATTTTAAAAAATCTATAGTTCTACAAGAGTTCTAAGAAAAGTTCTACCTGCTAAAAGCAAAAAAACATCAATAAAAATAAAATAAGAACAAGCAAATATAGAGATGAGACGCCAGTCAATTTTCGAGAGTTCTGCTTATTCTAAAACAGTTTTCGTATAGTCCTAGGCATGCACAATGCTTTTCCAAAGAGTTCTGATGGATAAAGCCATTAGAAATTTTTTTAAAAAATTATTTTGCCCGAAATAAGTATCTTTTCGAGTATAAAGGTGAGACGCCGGTCGATTTTCAAGAGTTCTGTTTATTCTAAATTAGTTTTCCTATAATTCTGGGCATGCACAATGCCTTTCCAAAGAATTCTGATAGTTAAAACAATTAAAAATTTAAAACAAAAATTATTTCCTTGAAAAACGCGTATTTTTTAGTATAGTGATGAGACGCTGGTTATATGTCGATAGTTCTATCAATTTTAAATGACATTTCGTGTCAATATGTAATCACTTTTTATTTCTACGAAGAGTTCTATGCGTAAAAGTTATTAGAATATTGATTAAACAAATTATATCGTTCGAGACGCTGGACGTATAAATACCGAGCTATTGTTTTAAATGTACTTATCTGGTTCTTAGCAAAACGACAACGTGGACATTTAAAACAATACACTTTTACACAGTGAAATAAAAATTTTAAAATCCATGACGTTGTAGAAAAATGATCAGCGTCTCATCTCTATATTTGCTTGTTCTTATTTTACTTTTATTGATGTTTTTTTGCTTTTAGAAGGTAGAACTTTTCTTAGAACTCTTGTAGAACTATAAATTTTTTAAATTCTAACAATTATTGATAAAGAAAATGTCGTAGGACAAAGTGAGACGCTGCGTGAAGTTGGCATCTCAGTTTGTTTTGAGACATTTTTGTTGGTTTAATGGCCAGAACTATTTGTTTAAACTATCAAGAACTCTAGAACTATTGAAAATAAAGCCAGAACTTTTAATTATTTGTGAGTTTCCGCGAAATGATACGCCAGCTTCACGCACACGTATTAATACATTAGTGATCTCGATAATATTAATATTGTAGTTAAAATGTACAATTACTTGTGAATTGTAATGTTGAAGTGTTATTCAATAATTAAAAATTTGAGAGATTTTTAATAATGTTCGTATTATTTGCGAAAAATATTGATCTTTATTACGTTATAACGTAAAGTAGGAATAATTTCAAACAATTAATGGCTTTTTCAGAAAAAAGCGACGCGGTTTTAGTATCTCCATCATCAGCAGAACAATTGGATGCTGAAAGTGCGGACATGGTGGCAGCTCTTCGACGACAGATCCAGCCTTTCATGGACCACCAGATGATGGTGTCGCCTACGCGTATACCCAGAGGCCATCCGCCTCCACCTGCGGCTTTCTCATTACCTTTGCCTAGTTACATAATTCACGTAAGCGAATTTCCGTTACACGCATCAAAGCAAAAGATATTTTTGCATTCGCGTGAAAGTTGGAATTTTTTTATTTTACCTTCAATTAAAATTAGATCTTTAATTATAATTTAATAGAAATTAGAAAGATGTGTCGCGCATCGTAGATTCTTATTTGGATCTCGCGATTTCCTTTTTACAAATTTAATTATCTTGCAGCAACATGTGAAACCCGAGGAACGCATGCAGCGGCACTTGTCCGTGGACACTGAAGAAGCCGACGAAGGCGACGAGGAAAACGTCTCCGACGTTCCCTTGAATCTGGTGGCGACTTCGCTCTCGGAATAGACGCTCTGAGACAAATCTGGCCAAGCTTCGCGCCTAGGTATGCTAACGAAAGCTTTCTAGATGGCACAGTCCACTCGGTGGACTACTGTTGGCGTTTACTACGGTTAGACGTCCATGTCCCTTCTGGCAGACTCTCCATCCCCCCAACTTTTCTCTATGAAATCAATTCACAACTGGGGACTTGCGACGACGTTTCCGTGGAAGAGAGCCGCAAGACTCGCGACGCGATGCAGCGCGCGCGCGAGAGAACGAGATGATATTAATTACGCAGTATTAATTATTCACGATGTACATATATATATACATATATATAAATATATAAATATGTATATGTATGTACATGATATACACGCCACATATGAACACACACACTTGGACGCATATAGAGAACCATGTGTGTACACGCACACACACACATAAAATGTACACACGAAGACACAGACGAGCAAACGTTAAAACATATACGAGAAAATATTTTTATACAAAATTTTGTATGCTCGCCCGTTGTACATAGACGCGCCCGTGGATTTGACCCGCGGCGCCGCGCTCGGAGGTGCGTGCTCTTCATTGTTGTCGTCATCGTCGTTTTGTTCCATGTTATACATGAGTATCTTTCGATCGGCGATTTTACGGTAACCGGGACGGCGATGGCTTCTCCAATGACGTACCTGTAACGTCGTTTTGGCTTTCGACATTCAGTCGTATATTACGCTCCAAATTTTAAGGTCCTTTCAAACTTTTATACGTTGCGCGATGAGTGTTGGATTTTTCACTTTATTTCGAACTGAATCAGCAAAACGGAAATATTGTCCATTCAATATCTCAAATGCAATTGTTGAGCAAATTAGTCTGGTGAAGCTTATTTCGCGTCTTCTGAATTGATTTCATTGATTGTGTTATGCCAATTGTTAGTTTCAACAATATCGGAACGGAAGTCAAACTGAGCTTGTCTAATAGAAAGATTTATCGATTGAGATATTTTTCATTGCGGCTCGTGTATTTTTGCTAACTAGCCATATACTTGTTCAAATAAAAAGACTGAAAATGACTTGGTTAGAAAAGCAAGTATATGTATCACAGAAACTTGTCGTATATATTGATGCACGTTCAATAGAAATTTTAATAGAATTTTTGTCGATTATGTCGAGAAAATATATCCTAGTTTCGACCATTGAATTTCTTGTCGTATATTTTAGAAGTTTAAATCAATCTCAAGTGACGTAAAGCGTAAAAATAGTCAACGCTATTAGCAAAATCTATTTTCGATTAAATTTCATTAGAATTAAATGAGGGGTTCACAGGAAGAGTGAATCAAGTCCATTTTTGTTAGAAAATTAGTTCCAAAGTTAAAGTTGTTTTAATTGTGCGCAACATGTACACTGTTTTTCATAGATGCTGTAGTTTCTTTTAATTTTAACCTCAACATTTTCACTCACTTTTAAATCATTTGGTGAAAACTGTGCAATTTTTTTCTAATTTATAAATGGATTTAAATAAATACTTGGTCGACTTTTCCTCTGAATCAGTCGTCCCTCAAATGTAGAGATGGAGATTTGTCGCAACTTGCTCTTCAATTTCGGCATTATATTAATCATTAGCGTAGTAAGATTTTTTCCGAGGAAATGAAAAACTCAGCGAAAGATCCTACATTTCATACGCAACATTTTGACAAAGGTTTGTCCGATGCCGACGAAAAATACGAGCGATTGACAATAAGGGTTGTAGAAAAGGATTGGCGCAATCGGGCGACATTTTGGGGCCTGAAAGGAAGAGAAAAAAAAAGAAGCAAAATACTAGCAACTATGCTACAAGAACGTGCCTCCTCGTGCTCTCCGTTGCTCAGAGGAGGCACTCGCGGAGCCTTAAATTAGAGACCTGTAGATGCTATCGAATTGCGAGATCTGCTGAGACTACGCGAACGTTTTCTCCCTTGAAAGACTTGTACTTAATCTTGAACCGTACTCGCACGCAATTAGCTAAGCTAAGACTCCGGAAGCAATAAGAATCGCGACGCGGCGTATAATATATATATCTATATATGTATACATTGTCGTCGTTAAACACGGAGATACTCAGTTACGCGCCCCCTTTTTCGACGAATAAGCGGGAGACGCGCAAGAAGAAACTTAAGAAAGTAATACTTAGATAGCGTTTACTCTCATGCGCCGGATCATAATGAAAAAGAATTCAATTAATAAATTTTACGGCTCCACTGCTGCTGCGTAGTTAGTTTTTAGAATCAAAATGGAGAGGCTTTTGCTCCCGATAGAGTAATGGAATCTGTAGTATTCTATATCTACCTCCTGTACACACTTACAGACCGTTTATTCTATAAATTTGCGCTTCTATTATCAGTTTCTCGTAATGAACTTGCTCTTCGAAGTTGAGATGGATTCGGATGAAGGTGCGACTTAGCTCTTAATCACCGAAATGTATTGCGTGAGACACGAATGTATCGCAACGCGAAACGAGAACACAATGCAGAGGCTATGGCTTAGACGCGAATTTCTTACACATCTCAACTGCGACTAGAATTTCCCGCGTTAGATCCTAATTCGCGAAATTTTTCTTTCCTCAATTTTGAAGCCGTGAACGTGGCGAAATAACGAAAGAGGTTAGCGAGCCGTTCGAGGGTCTCCGCCGTTTTTCCAGAATTGTACAGATAACACGTCAAGAGAAAGGGCGTTTAGTGACCTTACATAGCGCATAATACTATGGCCAGTGCATCTACTCATGGTATCATAATATTTAATGTGTCGTATACCTAAACAACATTGCCAAAAATAGATTTAGTCTACGTACGTAGGATAGTTAAGCACGTACACAAAAATTTAACAGTCCCCGTCTTTGTTCTATCTTTATACTGTCTTCTCTTCGCTCCCTTCTTCTCTGTTTATTATTCTCGTTCTCTGTTTCTCCAGCCTCTTTACTTCTTCAAAACGACGGAACACGTTTGTATTTATTTCCGTTCCCTCTCCCGATTCTCTTTTTACGCGGAGACCCCCGGAACGTTCTCGCGGCATTTCGAAAACAGCTCGCAGCAGTCCGCGGAGTATCTTAGCATCGGTTGTTATCGAAGAAGCCTTATAAACAAATACATTTCCCGTTGGCAACGCCGCTCTTTTCGACTTTAAGCTTTCCTTCCACAGTTGTCGGTCAATTTTTCGTCGAACAAATATTCATACCGATGATTCAAGCGTTCATTCGCGAATATGTGTGATTAAAAACGAGAAAGATATGCAAAAACACATCACTGTGCAAAATCTCTACTTGTAGCGACTCTAACTTTTAATTTTAGACAAAAGAACGGCGTTGGTGTCGGAATACTCTGTATATACATATGTTGAGAGAGAGAATAGGGCTTGGAATGATATTCTCCTAGATATTTTATAAGAAAAAAGATCTTAATGCTGAGTGTTTCTGTGGAATGTTTAACTCGTAGCGTATTCCGAACGCTAATCATTGTGAAATAATTAAAATCGGCAAAAATATCTCAAGTGAAAAGTTAAGTTATTAATGTGAATAATTTTTGTAGTATTTGGTAGTATTTTGTACAAAAATATTTTGTACATATATATAAGAGAGGCGGGCCATATATTTTGATTATTTGATTTCTATTTTTAAAAGTGGAAATTACTAA